TTATAAAAAGTAACTAAAATAAGTAGGCCAAAGTAGGACTTGACTTTAAAAAAAAAATTATTTTATTACTTGTTTGGTTTTAAATTATCTTTACGAGCTACAGTATCGCCATCTTTGTTTTGAGAAGGAAAGTATTAAAATGCCCACAGAAATTATCATGGAACTAAGAACATTAATATTACAGTATTAATTTATGTAATACTATAGTATATTATATAGTATTACATTATACATAATATAATTAATTATTTATTTATAAAGGCATCCTACTTATCTAAAAAGAGCAATTTATTCTAAAGAATTAAGGATTTCTTTATCAGATAAATATAATTAGAAGTAATTGGGTATTTTTTGTGTTCTGTTAGTATTAATGAGATTATTATAATTTTTTATTTTATCTGTCTTATGTACTATTAGGAATCTGATACATTAGATGTAATTTATCATAATGCTTCTGAAAATTGATAAATGTTCATTACTATCTCTATGATTTGTTCTTTTATAATATTAAAGTTAAAATAGTATCTTGTCACAAATATTGATACTTATTAAACCTCTAACCATTTAATCACCTCTAATAAAGATGTTAATTTTTCGCGGGCAAATATATATATACATACATATAATCTTTATTTTTATGCATTAAAAAACTTCAAAATTAATTATTTTAATATGTATATAATGACTTAAATCGCAAATTAGATACTAAATGCAAAAGTATTACACTGCTGTACAGATAGAAATTGAGAGCTGCTTAAAGAGGCGTCTTAATTACTAGTAGTTTGTACCTTCAGCTATCTAATCATAATAGCAAGAGCTAAATGAAAGATATCAAAGTAATTGGACGTAATACTTCTCTAGCATTTTTATAAAAACCGATAACTCATCTTAGCTGTCACTCTTTCGACCCCTTATCTGGAATAGAGTGCACATATCACGAGATATGTCATTTTCTAGGCTGCGTAATAACGTCACATGCCGTGCTTCATTTGAAAATGCTCATTAATTATAAAGCCATAACGAGGCAATCTTCAGTAGGTTAATTTGATATTCAATATCTGACTACAGTCCTTCCTGATTGCCTATAACGGATAGCAGATATATCTGCTTTGCACTGAATCAGAATCATGGAGATTTCGTCTCTCTCTCTGTCTGGTTTGAATCTCACTCGCGCCTTTTATTTCGAATTGGTAATTGACTCATAATTCGTGTAACTAATTCGTTTACTCATCGCTGAAAATTATTTGGGAGAATGCTACGGAAACAGTATAGAATCTCCTGTTGCCTAACCAATTCAGATATTGAAATCATAAGTATGTCTCTGGAATGATGATATATATATATATATATAATTTTACTAGCATTTTTGTATGGTATAGAATACAACAGATATATCAGAACTATGAGGTTATCAATACATACACACACACACACATATTTAAAAAAAAAATTTTTTTTGTTACCTTTCTTTATATTAAGGAAAGTTAATCATTTAATTTCGTCTACATAATTGTGTAAAATGTTTCGGATACTTTAAAATAGTCCATGAACATATGTTAATAATCCATTTGAACGAACTAAAATAATACCTTATTTTAATGCATGTATGTAAATACATGAACACACTTACTATAACATGAAAAGTGAAGCACCAATCAATTATCTGAATGATACAAAAATCGGTAGATGTGTTGAAAATGTACTGAATATGAAATGTGAACAGTATCATCGGAGTTGAATGTTTTATTGAGGAAAAACAGCTACAAGCGCAAACAAATCAATAATGCATTTATTTGTTCATCTATGGCTCTGATACTAGCCTATATCTAGCAAAACATTGGCTGGTAGATTTGCTGATATCCTCCAGCTGGATTGCTTGCTTTATACATTCCGACTGGTGAAATAAATTGGGGTGGTATCTAGGAAACGGTTAGCGAAACTTGCTCGTCACAGCTGAAACGTGCATTACTGAGGAGAGATCTGGTGATTTCTCCGTCCAGGGAAGTATTGAAGAAGCACAGAGGCAAGAAATAAAAAGGTGTTCTGTGTATCAGGACATTACTTTGTTGAAATGCAAGTCCAGGGATCCGTGTAAAGAAGCCAATTTTAAGGGTGTGTAGAATCTCCTTGATGTACAGTCGTGCTAAATGGGTGACATGGATGGCAACAAAAGCAGTTCAGTCATCAAATGAAATAACTCCCTAAGCATAACTCCTAGTTATCGGGCTATTTAGCGGACGACAGTCAGATCAGTATCTCATCGCTGTTTCGGATGCCTTCAAACACATCTTCGCTGGTCATCGAAGCTCAAATTGAAGCAGGACTCGTCGCTGAAAACATTTTACTTTAGTCCGTGAGATTCCAAGTCGATGTGCCCGGCGGCATTACGCCAACACATTTAGTGGCTTGCAACGGTCTGAGATTGTCGCCGTATTGGCCTCCTTGACCTCAATCCCCGTTCGCTGAGTAGCTTATCGCTGGTTATATATTACAAGAATTGTTAAACGTTGAATCGTTGATAAAGGTGCATCAGGGGTTGTGAGCGTTAATCTAATGACCACTCTGATCACTCTGTTCTCGCGTACTATCTTCACTCTCGCTTGAATCTTCGCCTTGTTGACGCTGTGTGGGGCCATGGCTTTGCCTTACCTGCCGATAGTAGCATTGATCCGTCCCAAATGTTGAGCGATCCTGTCATCCTGCTTCCTTTAGTTCAATTACACTCCTTCTCTCAAGTGGTAAAATCTGTTTATACTGTTCGTGGATTCGTATGCGAAGCATTGGTACAGTCTATTTGGGTCGATGAAACCGCATTCACATAGAAGTTATGCATTATCAGGGATTTGTTCATCCGGATGCTCCGTTGCACTGCACTGGAACTCCATCTAGTCAGTCAATGCCCTCCAAAAGTTAATTATTTTTATACTTTATTGTATTTTCATGTTTTATTGTACTTGTTCACTTTCGTTCCATTTGGATAACTTATTTTTGGTTCGTCACTTTTTATGTTGCAGAGTGTACAATATATTTTTAGGTAGGATAAATATGATTTAAGGTATCCGACTATGTTCGGAACCGCGATTTTATAAAAGCGCACAAACGAATATTTTTTAAGATTTAGTGTCACTTAGATTAGAATACAAGTATAAAATTGTTCGAAGAATATTTTTCTAATAAAAAGCTATTTAAATGCAACATTTTGGCAAAAAAGAACATAGAATTACGTATTTTCAGAACATTCTCCTTTTGTGGAAAATGCTTCTATAATGATACTTTGTCTATATATATAACGCAGACCTCTGTACTAGGCCTGAACTAGGATTTTTGAACTTTATAACTTAGAAGTGGATTTATCCATATTTTAGTATATCAGAGTGAAGAAATTTTAACAAACAAACAAAAAAAAAACACCGGTAATTATTTCTATTGGTAATAACTCTGAAAGTAACACGAATTTTTCAAAGATCCTAGTTCAGACTCTCTGGAGCAGTCTTAATTGTATGTAAGCAAAATAATATTATAATAGAACTTTTCATAAAAGAGAAGCTTTGAAAATAGGTAATTCTTTCATTTTTTGCCAAGATATTGCCTTTAAATAATTTTTTATTGTAATAATATTCTTAAAACAATTTTATACGTGTATTCTAATCTAAGTAACACTAAATATTAAAAGAAATATTCATTTGTATGCTTTTTCAAAATCATGGTTTCGAACGTAGTTGGATACCTTAATACATGATAAATCATTATTGAAGAAATTTTATTTTATAAGCGAGGAAGGAGAGAAAGAGAGAGCGAGAAAACTGTCTTTGATGCTTCTCACAAATGTAAAGAATGCGTTAAATTTTTTTAGGAAAAAAGTGACTTCTTAAAGAATAAATTACTTTACTTCATTAACTTCCTTGTAAACAACATATTCTTCTTTTTCTGGTTTGTTTATTTTTAATTTATCGATCCATGAATTTTTTTTATAAATTCTTTAATCACATGCTATGCTCTCAGTAATTTTTTCTTTCTAATTTGATCAATGTTTTATTATCAACCCCTAATTAAATTATTGTTCTTCAGGTGTTTTTCTCTACTATACCATACCACAAAAAAGTGTACAATCTTATATTCCTCATTTTATGCTTCCAGCATCAAAGTTGTTTGAAATGAGAACATTCAATAAGATTTTAGGTTGCTTAAAATTTTAGTATTTTGTTCACGAAATAAGTAAAACTTGTTTAGAAATTAGTGAAGATGTGTTCTACAATATTTGACAGTTTCATAAGTCATTTGATACTACCAAAGGTTTATGTTTGCAAACTTCAATGGTCGTGATGTTGAGGCAGTCGCGAAATCGAGTTCTGATTCGATTTAAGACCCGTTGGGACCCATATAGAGCGAACATGACCTCGAAACTCTCACATAATGTGAGGACTTCGAAGTTTAGATTAGAAAGAGAAGTACTAGTTCGCGTATCGACCTCACATCAATTGCTTACTCAAACGTGATGTGGAGTAAAGAGTTTGATCGCACTTGTGTAGCTTTTAGAGCGATGTTAATTCAAACTATACCAAATTTAAAACGTTTGCTATGATTCGAAAAATGTTAAATATTTATTTTTAACTCTTCTAGTTAGCTATTTATTGAAGAATTATAGCATAATTCCTTTTTTTATGTTTCTTAGATTTAATCCAAGGACGTAATCATATTCAAATAAAAGAATAATAGTTAAAACAAGTAATATATAAAAAAATTAACTTAATTCCTACTTCGGTCAACAAAGGAATATTTTATTTTAATTATTTTTTAATAAATAATTACAATTAATATAAATATGTATATACATATGACATAATCACAATATTAAGTGACAAAATAGAAAAAAAAAAACGATTTTCCTTTCTATATATGGTGTTGGACTATTTTATGGTTTTTTTAGTTTCATTTATTAAATTAAATTATTCTAATAAAATAGTATAGTAAAGAGGAAAAAACATTCCTAGAAAGAACGATGTTTCAGGTGGAATTTGAACCCACGACCTTTGGATTAAAAGTCCAACGCGCTATCCATTGTGCTACAGTGACACAATGATCAATTTTCCTTTCTATATATGCTGTTGAACTGTTATTTTGTGTTTGTTACTATTTATTCATTTTTTAATTTAATTAATGAATTAATATTTTAAAAAATTGTATTAGCATCAAGTGTCATCCGTTACAAGTTTTAAAAAAATGGATTTGAACTTGAATGGATGAATAGAAAGTATTTTATTAACGATTGAAAATTTGAACAAAATATATAACTAAATAAATATGTATATATAAATATAGGGAGAATGGGAACTAATTGTAGGAATTGAAGAAAGGATTTCTTTGTGAACCCAAATTGAAGAAATGCAAGACTTAAAACTAGATACGGAACTCATATTTTCATTTCTTTTTAATTCCTTCGGGCTTAAACTTTGTTTTATATACGTTCTCTTTCTTAATAAATTAGAAATCTAATGAAGCTTCTGTTGCATTGAATTATTAATGTGTTTCTTAATGAAATAGCCGTAATAATTAATAAACAATTAACTCGAACTAGGAAATTCAATTATTTTTTAAGCACTAGTACATATTAGACCTTCATAAAGCTTCTATTAATGTATGACAAGCTCATTTTTTATTAATATTCAGTGTTAATAAAAATTATCCTTAAGCGTACATGTATCTCTCTGATCAATGTTTTCATAACTAAAATCCGCGTTCCCGTTACGGAAATTGAACAGACTGTATAAAAATTAACTGAAGCAAAACTAATTTTTTAATATATATATATATATATACATACATTTATTAATTATAAGTTGGATAAGACAACTAAAATCCCTAACTGATGCTAGTTAATAGATTTCTGCTTCAAGTCTAATTTAACTTATTAGAGTTAATACTTTGATTTATATATATTCCTTATTTAAAAGTAACTAAGCATGTTATGATACACTATTATACGAATCTTATAATGAAATATATTATGTATTGTGCTTCTTTTTGTTAAGCTTAGTTTACTACTAGAATACCTTTGTTGAATTTACTGGGAATAAAAAACGAAATCTGGCCGACTTTTATATATATATATATATATATATATATATATATATGACTTTTTACTATTCTATAAAAAATTGAAAGTCAAGAATATCCTCGAATAGACTCTTAAGAGAAGTTACTTTCCAACACAAACGTTTGAATAAGAAAAAAACTTGAAGGCGTAGATCTAAACTCTGTAATAAAAATGCTACATGAAATCTAAAAGAGGAAAAATAAATTCAGTATTGAGAAGAAACGGATCTTCAACTGAAAGCCGATGGTGGGTGTGAGGGGAGAAAGAGAGTACTAACTGTGGTATTTTTATTTAAAACTATTTATTGTATATCACACAGAAAGTTTCTTGAAAAGGAAAAGTGACAGTGACATATCAATTTTAGTTTGAAGAAAAGTTTCGGAAAAGAAAAATGAGTGAGGAAACATGTCTTAAACAATCCGCCAACTGTATAAATTACTTTACCATTTAGTTCTTGGATTTTTTTGTTATTATTCGAGTGCATTATAGATCATTTTATATATTTTTAAAGACTTAAAAAAAGATTTAAAAATCGTTGATTTAAAATATGAGTAAAAGATTATTTTCAAAAAGAAAATTCCTTTATTTTGTTTTATGCGTTGATTTGAGTAAAATTATTTATTTCAAATTGTGTAACCTTGGACAGCTTTATTTATACATTTTAAAATATTATTCATTTCGATTAATGTATGATACTGTTGTGTAAGTTTGACAAAGAAACTGTATTTTTTATTCTTATCTGCTATATATTCTCTCCTCATAGCTGAAGCTAACACATTATTTTAGAGAATATGTGTATTTATTGTAATATATTATTAAAATTTCTCATTTCCTTACTGTTAGTTTTTAATGTAATGTTTTAATTTAAAAAATCTGTGAGTGAAACAACTGGAAATTCTTTAGTAAAAGTAATATCGAGGATAGGACGATAGTTAATCGTTAGTTAAGGAATAAATCTGCTTTCTCTAATTTTATCAATCTTGATTTTACTTGAAATGGAAGAATACAAAAATTTCCTTTTTCTCTCAATATTACATCGTGCACGAAAACTGAAAAAAAGAATATTCTTGCAATGCTGGACTTCCGTATAACATACAGATATTTATTATAATATGCAACAATAAACCTTGTCTAAAATGAGAATAAGATGGAATGAATGGAAACTCAATTTGTGTGTGTGTGCTCAAGATTCACCTAAAATTATATGATTTATCGTATGACATTCAGTATTGTATGGCATTATTTAATCCTTAAAAGGAATTCATATTAAAAAGATTATCAAACTGAAATTGACCTTCATTTCATAACTATTATTGCTGTAAAGCTTATGACCGCTCTTCTGACTGCCAGCACCAATTGATCTTACTGGGGCTTTCCTATTTTAGTTTATCATCTGCATCGGTATATTTTTAATTTGGTTGATAAATGACTGTAAAAGATAAAGAAGCCACAATTGATCCTTTATTGTAAGAGAAGATTCTACCAGACATAAAATTTATACATTCTGTACATAATATTCTCTATAGAAAAATAATAATAACAAAAATATAAATGTATACAAAAATAGTAAAATATATTAACCTAAAATTCAAATTATACTTCCCTGACAGCAAATTACCCATTTAAAGAGCAAATTCACTTTTTAAAAATAATTTCCCTTTTTTTTTTTCTCGACATTATTAAAATTAAAATTTTTATCTGCAAGAAAACGCATAATTTTTATTTCTCACACGCTTAATCTATTTTAATACAAGTTCTTTTTGAAATAATATATATATATATAAGTATGTTGACATAGTAGAGCTGGTATATCGCGAAAGAAACTAAAATTCCATAATAAAACGAGGATAGAAGCCATTAAGTAAAGCAAAATAATAAGTATGCGAAGTAATTTCTTCATTTTAGTCTATCTATTGAAACGAAAAACCAGTTACAGGAAAAAATCAATCTACGCTTTAATTTGATGATTGATTATGTATAAAATCGGTCCCTTTTGGTTACATGAAAATAAAATGCATTTCATTTTAAAAACCATTAAATCACCAATTCGCTTCTAGCCAGATTTTTCTTTTCTTTTCTGGAGCGCATTTCGTCATTCTGGTTTTCTCATTCCCGCTTTGATTTGATTTTGGAAAATAAATTTCTGGAATGAAATGAACCAATTTCCTTACTCAGTGAATTAACCTTTAATACGAAATATCTCGATTACTTTCAAATTGAAACCTTCCACAATTAGCCTCATGCATGTAATTATTATGCTATGAAAATTAGTTCGGATGGAGTGAAGAATGAATAAATCAGGTACCTTTGTGTTTAAATGTTTCAGGAGAAACTTTGTGACGAAGAATAAATTGTATTTTAGAAAGATTTTCGAGCAGATGTTTCAAAACGAGAATCTTTATGCTAATTTAAAGAAAAATTAATTTGCCTTGAATTATTTCTGCAAATATTTTAAAACAGCAGTGTATGACAAATTTCAATTATTTATGGATCATTTCATCGCTGAAAGAAACCACGACAAATTTCTTTGATTTAACTGAATTTTTATTTGATGATCATGATTTTTGAAATAAATTCTCGAAAGAGCTCTTAAATTTTGTTGTAATTCTCTATTTTCATTAGTTTAAATCATAAATTATTAAGTAAACATTTTAAGCCAGCTTCTTTTAGATTATGCGATAAAATTAGTTTACGCGTATTATGGCATAATAAATTTTTACAATTACATTTTACAGACTATGCTATAGAGAACGCTTAATGTAGTCATTAAGCTGTAATGATAAACGAAGGAAATTATTTCTATATTAAATTACATGCCTTTAGCTTTATGTGAAAGTGCTATTATGTTTGGTCTTAATTATAAGTATATCCTTGTATTTTATTACATTAGTATTTTATCACCGGAAAATGAGGTTGTGGAATTCAATAAAGATATATTTTAGTAATTTTGTCTAGAATTTTATTTCTTAGTTATTCATTCTCTTAATGTTTTAAAATAATTCTTAAATGGTAAAAGTAAACGTAAAAAAACTTCTGTAATATTTTTCATTAATCGCATTGAAATTTAATGTATCAATCGATTTTCCTCGTGCAAATAATAAAATTTTTTAAAAAAACAGTCTCATAGTTTTAAAGTTAATTATTTTATTTGACAATTTCGTTTAAAAAATTTAACCTCCATCATAAAATTTAAATTTTTAGATAAAACATGTAAATATTTCCCTGACACTTTTTCCTTCGTAATGCCTACTTTTAATCTTAAAAATTACTGCACTTTTGAATCATTCATACTTTTAAAAATATTTTTGTAGGAATGATTTCGGAAAAAAATTGATAAATTTTTCACATAATTGGAGTTTTTTCTGAAACTCCTGTAACAAAATTTGCCACATGGAGCTACTTTCGAGGTCATTTGGGAGACTTTTTTACATGTAAAAACTTTTCATAATTTGCCTAATATAATTCGGGACCGCACTTTTTTCTCAAGATAAATTTAATTTCTACAATAGATATAGTTTTCTATCTTATAATTATCTTTTTTAGAATAATTTTCATTCTTTATTTTTTGAGAGTTCAGATTTTCCTTATAAAAGAAGCTAACACTATTGAGATTAGATTTTCTTTTTCTTATTGTTGTAAATCCCTTCTATTCTTAAATGAAATACATTTATATTTTAATTTATAATGAATTTTTGTCATGGCAAATGTTACGCATTTTTATAACTTATTTTTAGTACATTTTTGTAGTTTTATTTATCCAATTTAAAATCCGTTGTCTGATGCAGTAGGTATTCAAATTATAATATCTTCGGTTTTATTCCTTTCGTGGGTTTAATTTTTATTTATTTATTTTTATTCCTTAAATAATGACCTCGATTGCTTAACTTTATTTTAACTGTTAAGTATTCAGCATAAAACAAATTCAATTTCCTTTGTGATGTTACTTTCTTTAAGATGAATTGTAACATATGCGAATATT